TGGCATTAATAAATAGTCTAAGTGGCAATTCAATAGTTTTCTACGAAAGCATAAAGAATAGAAACTTTTGATAATCTTCTTCGTTTCACGTGTTCCGTCTGACAAACGAACAATGTTACATTGTAAAACTAGTTTGGCGCGAATTAAACGGAAAAGGTATGCATATTTTTTGAACGAAAGAGAAAAAAAAAATTGTAACCGTCATTGCATAATTCTAGTGGAAGGAAGTTTAAACGAATCACGTTCATTGAACCAACTTTTCGGCGAAAGTTATTCGAGTTGCTGAAACAACAATAACCATTTTAAAATCCTCTTTCCTCTTAAGTATCTTGAACAATGGTTTTTATTCAATTTTGAGAGACAATGATCGATAAAGTTGGAATGAACCATTGTTAATGGTGTTTTTTAGTGGAAAATAGAAGCTTAAAATTATTGAAAACTACAAAATGTTGTAATAAATTTCGTCAATGGCCCACCAGTAAAAAACCTAATAGCACCAGCGTCACGAGAGTTGAAGTTTAAACAAAAAAAAAACCCAGATAAACAATAAGAAAGAGATTGGAATGTCATTTCAACCAAAAATAGAGATGAAAAATTACACTTTGTAATGGGATAGTTCCGCATCCGTTGACTATAGTCACAAAAATTGGTGAAACAATTACGACAACTGTCGCTGAAATCAAACCGTACAATATGTTCTGCAGAAGAAAAAAGATTGTCATCTAAATCGGACCAACAAAACAATTTGCATGTAAATTGAAATTTGAATATTCGGAAACTCCGATCGAATGCCAAATGCTGTGGCTTTGCCACCAAGAGTCAGGCGTATAGCAGAACATAAAAATACTTCAAAAAACAAGTCCCAAAATTGTAAACTGAGCCATACTATTGTGATGCGTGTGTTTTGCATTCGACCATCATTAAAGTCTGCCAAAAAAAAAATCACTGTACATGACAACCAGCTACACGAAACGTTTTTTCTCTCCTCATTTCAACCGAAAAATTGATAAAAACGAACAAAATTCAACAAAACGAAAAAATACAGCAAACACACGCAAACACACATCCAACACATTCATTAGAAAAACCAATGGTTTCTAAAATGTTCTAAAAGCGACATTGAGCACCAACCAAATATGGTTGCTCTATCTTGTATTCAAATGTGGTTATGTTATTCACTGTTGTTCGTATGAGGAGAAGTGGCTAAATAAACACAATGATGAAAATTACGGTTAGAAAAAAAGAGAGAGAAAAAAACGTGGAAGCGAACAGAGTGAAGAAGTTTTTTTGCGTTGGCTAATACATATGCGTTAGCGGTATGCAGCGAAATGCGTTGTAGGAAGTTGATTGTTATATTCTTTTTTTGTAAAACGGTTAGATAATTAATGAATTGTTTTGCGTGCTGTGCTGAGTCGGTTGAGTTCGTCAATGTTTTTAAATGCTGTCCAGAATTGGTGAACGGTGTGTATGGTGTGTGTCATGCAGCGCCGTTTTGATTTATTCAACGGCCGACAAATTTTTGTTCATTTGTTCGAATCAAGTAATATAAATATGGCATAACACGCAGCGCGAAAAATCATAATAATAAATCCAATTTTCGGTGAGAAAATGTGGCTTATTTCAAAAAAATAATATACATCAGTGAATGAGAAACAAACAATGGGTTATTTAATAAATTGGCTATTTTTCGGTTGGGAGCTACACTACGTTAATTTTATTTTATATAGCCGCCGTAAATGATTTGCAAATACATAAGTAAAACATATAAGCACATAAAGTAGAGTCTAGTCAATTTCCTTTCATGTGTCATTCCACTCGGTCGTATCAAAATCAAGAATTAAGCCCATGATGTAAAATTGATTCAGATTTTGCTCTCATTTTTACCATTCGGTGCCCGAAAAAAGAAAATGAATGAACGAAAGCGACTAAGGCAAAAGAAAAACCAACAACAATGTGTGAAATTCCCATGATTGTAATGACTACGACAACAGATACCCCGGAGCCAGTCAAACAGAATCAAGAGCATATATCGAAATTGAAAGCGACGATACCCCCGAGAGAGAGAAAGAGAGAAACGAAACGATGTTACGCCATTGAAAACAAAAACCGAATACATTAGATTATATCTCTTAACGTGCATGCATATGTACGAAGACATTAAGTAAGTTACCGATCGGATTGTGAGACTTGTACTACCAGCAAGTTTCTTTTCATGTTTTTGAAGCCAAAGCTGGCATTTTCATTTTCCATTTCGCGTTCTATAACATATTTGCGTCACTCGCTGCTTGCAACTGTTTGTGTGCAAGAACATACAGCGGGCTTATGCACAATACAAAATCGAGTTATGTGTTATAATATTATGAAGTTACTCGTTCGCTGAATGGAATTAAGCGCAAAATCGAAATAAACAATTGCGTTTTGTATGCAGGCAAATTTATAAAACGACAGACGGCAGTATGAGCGCAAATGAAGATGTTAATAAGAGAAACGTGTAACATTATTCAAAATGATAACGCAGAACCAAAAACAAATTGTTACTGACGCCAACCAGCGAAAAAACATGACGTTGACTCTCGAGAGCACGAGATCCCTGAGATTATAATGTAATAATCACAGTTTTAGTTCACACAGCGTAAAAGATCTATCGCATCATGTTCAGAGTTAGCGCTTTTTTTTGCATGTTTCAACCGTGCGCACGGCAAACAAACAATAAGAAAATGAAATTAATTGCATTTATTACGAGATCACAAGCAAATACAGCGAAGAAAAAAGATCGACGTTATAATCAAATGTGTCAAAGTACATTTAGCATTGTGTTTTTTAGAGTATAATAGTAGCAATCAGAACCGAACATTTCAGAGCGAATTGCGATTGAGTGTATAGATTTTTTCACGGCGATACAGTAATTGACTTCAAAAACTCATTACAAAATCTATGATTTATTGCATTCTCAGATTGATTTCTGTTTTGCTTCCTATCGGCGTCAGCGGCACCGCATGTGATTCGTGACTAGTAACAAAAATCGTGATCATTTTCTTTCGTTCCTTTCTACCTTCTGGTCTGATACAATTGGTGATATTGAAAATTCAAAGTTTACTTAAGAATGCATGAAACATTCAACACATTTTATTCTCGTGTGAATATTATTGATTTCTATTCCGCAAATGCACGTATGTGTTAAATGCATTGACAGTACTGTTTCAATATATTCATTTTTATTGTTTCCGCCACACCGAAAAAAACGCCGTCTCAATAAAACGTTTTTATTGCTTTCCGCAAATTATTTAAACCCATTTTACTTTTGAAAAAAAAAATGGCAATAATAAAAAAAGTGCACGAAGAAACGAGGCAATTTACAAAGCATGCTGCTGTGGGTCAGATAACATGGGCATAATTCATTTTGCATGAAAAAAAGGCAGTTCACGATAGCAAAACTTGTGCTAGTACAAAATGAAATTGTTCTGATGATTGTTGGAAACAGTTTGAAACATTGGTTGGAGTACCCAATATTTGCGGTTGTATTTCCCGCTATCCCGTTAGTTTTCGGTTGGCTTTGATTCTTTATTTGTCTGGTTGACAGTCGCGAATATAATTTAAATCAGCGATATGGCTGTGACATTATTTATTCATGTTTGCCACGACCACAAAACCACATTCGAGTATATTTGTGTGTGTGCGCGCCGCGAAGCATGAATTTTTATGATGTTTGGTGTGTTTGTGTGTGCGTGCCCGCATTCTCATATTATAACTTTATTCCATGAATTTAACCGAAAGAAATGAATTGCACCGGTGCAAAATTGTTGAATTTTTGCAAAAGCCGCAGTAATAAATTCGACGCACAACATTATAATTGGCCGAATGAAACAGAAGTGTTAAAGAGAGTGTGTATAACATCGGCGGGCCGGATGGGACTGTATTCATTCACTTTATTGATAGTTTGCTGTGGCAAAAGCCACCAATGAACGGAAAATATTTATGCGTTTGAACCATTGAAATAAATTGATTTTAAATTAGCCGCAACATTTTTCAGACACGTCGATAATGTGCTCCATGCATTCCAATCCATCGTAACAAAGTCAATAAAATTATTGGCAAATTCAAATTTTCGGTTTTTAACATGATTTTGGTTTTGATTGTGACTTTGAGGTTGTTCAACGTCGATTGCAAGGATGACAAATGCGGAAATGATTTATTGAGCCACAATATTGTAAGTGAAAATGAATGATTTATTGCTGGAAATTGAATTCTGTGACAGATGGAAGTAAACTTCATTAAATGAATAATTGAAAATCGTCGAAACTTCACATTCACCTTATGCAAATGCGGCAATCGATTGGAATTTGATTTGAGTGGCAAGCTTATATGTTATGATTGACAACATGACATTCATACCAGACTGATATTTCATGAATGTATTTATCCTTATCTATTTTCTCTGTTGGAATTTTATGTTTGTGTTTCGAGAATTTCAAGATCATCCTACAGGTTTCAATTATTATTATTATCTTTGCCTCTCATTCTATAGCTTCATTTCTCTATGTGCAAATGCATCTGATTGGATTGTGGTTCACTCATCATGATTGTAAACACAATTAAAAAAACAGTTAAATGTTTATAGGCAAAATGTTTGTTGTCGTGATTGAGAGCAATTTTCATTGGGGTCGAACGTGATGTAGAATGA